TTTTTTTAATTTAAAATGTTTTTATGAAGCTTTATTGGCCAGAGTCCTTGCTCATATTTCAGTCTTATTAACATAAATGGAACTTGTTGTGAATCCCTGTGAGCAAACCTTTAGTACATTAGGTGCTTAGGTTGAAGTACTTGAATATGTCTTTGAAAATGAGAACTCCATTAAAAATTCTTTCTTTCTAGATATGTTTCAAAGAAATTCCACCCTTGGTATAAAGTCAGCCCAGTTAAATTAGATTATAACTTCTCCCACATTAGTATTTTTCTGCCCGCACATTTTTTGATGGCAATGCTAAGAAATGTTAGGGCAGAGGGCTTGAAATGGCCTTTTGGTTTGCAGTGAGCTTGCCTGCCATGGCTGTGCCTTTGATCTTGCCCATTTTAACAATCTGAAAAGATGAGGGATTGCAAAGGGATCTTGAAAGCAAATAAAGCCCAAGTGGGACTGCAAACTTTGTACCCACAGGGGAAGAAGAAATTAAGATTTAAAAAAAAAATATTGCTATATTGATGAATGAAATGCAATTTATTACTGACAGGTAGAAAAGATGAGGTTGCTTTGTGATGAAACTGCAATGATACAGAGAGAAACTGATGCCAGATGTCAGCACAAGATAACTGAGATGATGGCACTGATGGAAAAGCACAAGGTCAGAGGTTTTCCTGCTTGCTGTGGTTTGCAATGGGTGATACCATGTCAATATCATGTTTATAACTTGTGACACTACATTAATGACCTTTCAAAAGCAGAAACAGGCCTGAGTCTGGGAAAAGGAAGCTGAACACATGCTGCACTTTGCATCATCTAAAATCAAATTCATTTGAAGATTATGAACACATTCCTATGGGCAGATAAATTCCAGTCATCTAAACTTCTTCTGGGATTCTTAGATTTTTTTTCAATTCAGGCTTCCTTTGATACCATCTGAATGTAATATTTTTCAGTATCAGTTTGGCCTCTTTCTCAGAGGTTACCTAGTGACTGTCAGCAGTTTAGCCTGACACATTTTAGTTTACCTTCCTATTCCTCATTTTGCAATATCTTTAGCAGATACATTAATCAAGATGGCACAGTTGGCTCTTAGTGCTGAGCACATATTGCTGCACAGAAATAAAGCACTCTCTGCCAGTCCACAAAATAATAGTTGAATTGAGCATTTCCTGTTTTACAGTTTCTGCAGAAGCATCAATGAATCTTTTCTTTCTGAATCTTAAGAGCCTGGTTTGAAAAAATGATGTTTTAAGACTGGATAACTCTATAATTGCAACATGTAGTCACATGTTTTGAGTTTGTTGTTGGTTTGGTTTTTTTACCACAGAATGAATATGATAAAATGGTTGAAGAAAAAGATGCAGAGTTAGAAGTATATAAAATGAAACAGCAAAAGCAGTTCTCATCAGAAAGAGCGCTGGTAAGGAGCACTTTGCAATGGTCAATAATTCAGTGAAGGGGCTGATGTCCTTGTGTAATGGTTTTATACTGGCTAAGTGCAGGCACACACAAAAAATACATTCACTCATTTTTCTCTGCTGTAGTTGAGCAGAGGAGGGGAAAGAAAAAATCAAGGACTGAGTTGAGATAAAGATTAGGAGAAAAACACTTTGAGGGTAAAGCAGAGTCAAACTTAAATAGTGTAAAAAATTATTATTAATAGAATTAAAAGTGAGTAATGAGAATTAATATAAAACTTTAAAACACCTTTTTTCCAATCCCTCCCTCTTGCCCACCAACAACACAGGGAGACAAAAGATGTGATCTTCAGTCAGTTTGTGACTTCTAAAAGTCTTTTTTCAGTTTGCTTAGAGAGTTTCTTTTTCCTGCTGTCCTCTGGGGTCTTTCCCACCAGAGACATTCTCTGGGAACTCTTCCAGTGTGGTTTGAATTTTTACCAGTAGCAGTGCCACCCAACATGCTGCAACAGATCTTATTCTGAGCACTAAAAACTCAAAATGTTTCTAAAAATAAATTGGGGTAGCAGTGTGTTTGTGTCTGCTCCTCCAGGTAGTGGGTCGTGTTCTGACTCCCCACTTTGAATAGGAAACTTTTGTTTTAAATATTTAGATTGTGCCCTCTCACCTCTGTTCTCCCAAGTGTTTTAAGGTATTACCTTGAACATTTCTGATCAAATACCTGTTTCTTACAGTGCTTCAGTCGTTGTTAAACAAGCTAAAGCAAAGCTTCAAGTATAGGGCTGAAAAGCACATAGAATTATCTTGTGTATCTAATGAGTGTCCTGTTAATTGCTCTCTCACCTGGGACTGTTTTCCTTTTCCTGGGCTGTGCATAGTTAACCCTGTCCTTTATTTAATGGTTTGTAGGAAAATGAGCTGTCATGTTTGAAAAGGGAACTGTCCTCCCTTAAGGAACAACTGAGAGCAGAAATGGAAGAAAAGGTGGAGTTTTTTATTCCCTGAGCAGTGGGGGTGAGAGGTGTGGCCTGGGCTTGTGCTGTGGGAGGAGTTGGGTAAGAAATGAAACTGAACAGAAAAACAGTGACTTTGGAATGCTGGGGTTGTGCTAAATCTGGTCATAGATTTGTGTGAACTTTGTAACAGTCTGTGATTATAGACTGTGCTCTGTCATTACACCAAGAAGATTTTTAGCAACTGAAATCAAATAAATATTTCCTTGCTGTCACATAACTCTTTTGTAGGAGAATCTTGTAAAAGAGCACTCTGGCAGTGTGATTGCTGAAAGTGAAAAGAAACACAAGGTAACTTCAACTTTTTAACTGCTGTTAGAATTTGGGAGTGTTTATATGTGTAGAATCAATTGAAGTGCCATGAGAATTTATTTGCATTCAACAAAAGACATTGGAATGCTTTTGACTTCAAACTTTTTAAATTATAGAAAATACAAACTTATGGTCCTGGGACTCCTAAACCTTGTTTAGATCTATACCATGAATCTATTCATGTAAAAAATAGAAAGTCTCCAAATTATATTCCTAAAATTAAAAAAATAAAAGTAAAAATAAAAAATGTGTTCTTCAGAACAGGAAGCCCCTTGGACAGTCCAACATTGAAGTTTTGTAACTCCTAACAGTGAATTTTTCTTGTTGCATTTTTCTGCCTGTATTTCTTACTTTTCTGTAGATGATTTTTTTTTTTTCCCCTGGGATAAGAAGGGATTTTAAAGGGTCACACCATTCCATGGAGATATTAGCAGTTTCTGGAAGGGCTCCCAGTGTGTAATTTTTCTTGCTCAGTTGCTGATTTTTTTATGTCTCTAGAACTGATTTACTTAGTCTTACAAGTGTCCATTTGTAAAGGCACTTTTCCTCTATGGAAGAGAAAAAAGCTGATACAGCTGTAAAAATGGTCAAGTTATCAAAGTAGTCCTGACTGCAGAACTCACCCTTCTTCCCTGCCAGGAGTTCACTTGTGGTTTTCACATTGGAACAATGGAATGCAGCACTATTTTGATGTTATCTGTCTAAAAAGGACTGCACTGGACCATTCAATGCTTCTCAGTTTCACTTCTAGTGAAAAGACTATTTTAAGAAACACCAATCTTGATGTAGCTATCAAGCTTTCTCTGGAAGCCTTTTCCTGCAGTTTTGTTTGTTCCCATTTTCTTTGATGTTTGATAGAGTCCAACGTATTGGCTACAGTTCAGAATAACCTGAATTTCTGCAGATAAGCATGGAGAACTTAAATACAATGTGCCATGAAACTCAGCTCTTCCATAGCTTCCCCTTCATTCTCCTCATTTGGCAACAAAAATAATATAAAAAATTATATTTACACCCCACCCCACTTTGTTTGGGTCTTTGCTCCATGTTTGGATGGAAAGTTCAGAGTTCCACCATTTCTGTCAGGTGAATTCTTGGACACTCAGACTGTAAACTGGTTCCTGAGTTTGGCTTTAGATTCCCTACTTACCCCATAAAATATAATCTAAAAAGAGAAACATTTTCTTTCCCAGACATGTGTTACAAAGACTCCTCCAGTGGATAAAATGCAGAGTGGAAGAAGCACAAACGTGCCTGCAGAGCAGAGCAGCAGGAAAAAGCAGAAAGTGCTGGTGCAGCTGGACACTGAGTCAGACAGCTCTGAGCACACTGACCTCCTGGTAAGAGCCAGAGAACAAATAATGGGCTGAGCAGCTCTTTGTGCTCACTGCTGGGGCTGAGAATGGAAATAAAGAGCTTGGGCTTCCACATTCCAGCCGATATTTATCTGTATATTTTTAATTTATTGGTTCTTTCTGGAATTGTCATTGTATGTACATAATTACCATTCTTTTTATTGAACTGTTATGCCTCATAATGACATCTTAACTTTTTTTTTTTTTCATAGTTTAATATCCTTAGGGGGAAAGAAAAAGTATTTTTAATATAGTGTGACTAAGTACCTTTAACTTTTAACTTTTAATTTATTAGAGCATAGTCTCGGAAGAAGAAATGTTTAAAAATTTGTACAAAGATTATCCACAAGCTTCACGGTTACATTCCACAGCACCAGAAAAGGTATGTTAGCCTTTCCTAAGATTAAAGCAAGCAGTTAATCAGATTGTTTACAGAAACTAAAGGATGGCTTTATTTTCCTTCCCAGAGCCCAGCTCCATGCAGTGTGAAATCTCCAGGCTCTGCTCTGAAACTCAAAACCATGAGGAGAATGCGCGAGGCGGGCTGGGCTGCGCTCTCCAAAATGGACAGGAAAAGGAAAATTAAAGATGCTGTAAAGCTCTTTGCTTAAAATGCAGAAATGCCCAGTGCCCTGGCATTGCTTGCAGGGCTGTTTTTCTCTCAGTTAGTGCTTTGTTGCATTTTTCTGTCATACTCAGTGTATGTAATACTGTGTTCATTCCTTTACACATATAAACTTTATAGATCCATAACTGCAACCCCTGCAGAGCATCTTTCACCTTTCCTCCCTTGTGCTTCAAAATGTTGAGACGAAAATTGGCCAATTTTAAATTTGGAAATAAATAGAACTACATAGAAAGTTGTTTCAAAGCTGTTTCTAGCATTAGAAATTCTAGTTTTAAATAACTTCTGTTCTTTTGCATTTACTCTGTTTCTCTTAACACATAAATACTTTGTGGAGAAAATGTAGCTGTTAAATGTATGTTCTTTTACTGAAGTCCTCTTGCTTTTTCCTGTATTTTAATGGCTGTTAGACCTGTCTTTTAGATTGTTTTATTTTCAGTATGTTAAAATGGTTTTGAAACTTCTAAAATTTCAGTAGAATTACTTGTATTTAAAAAGATTTCAGCTTCATAAGGAGTGAAATATGCATGTTATAAGATTGTGAAGACAACGTTAAGATGCCAATAAATTGTTTATCTGAAATATAAAGTGTGGAACTATTTGTTGTTGCTTTACATATTTGAACACAGACAGAAATCACCCACCGGCCTTCCTAGGGACCAGCACAAGTGCAAGGATAGTTTAGAACATCTATTTCTGTATTAATCCTTGATTAATCTTGGTTTCACAACAACGACAAACCCTACTTCAGAGCCTAGACATAACAGGAAAACTACAAGTACATCTTAAAATATCATGAAAAATCAAAAATCCCAAATGCAGCTGAAGTGGGAAGCAAAACATATTTGTTTTATTCTTTTTGTGTAGTCTTAGGGATAGGCCAGTAGTTTGGGTTCCTTATGTTGAGCTGTTGAGCAGTGATGTAAATGAGATTTGTTAATGTATGTAGCTAACAAATATTGTGCAAAGACCTGGAAGAATATGCTGTGCTTTCCCCATGAGCACCTGAAAGTGAAAAATGGAAGTTTGTACTGCCCACTTCTAGACTCAAACAGTAACTAATCAATTAGAGCCTTGGTATTTTTTCAGGACATGAATCCATGGTATATCACATAATTCTCCTGATCCTGTGAGTGTGTCCTGTGAGGTGCTGTGTCAATCACCTGAAAAAGGACAAAAATATTGCCAGCAACACTGCAGAAAGCTTGCAGGAAATGCAAACAGCAGGGAAGGGTGTAAAATCACATCTGCCCGTGTCTGTGCATGATTTCATTAATGGATGAGGGTGCCCTGCTTGTGGCCATGGCAGCAGTGCACGGCTCCATCTCGTCTCTCTCTCTGGCCTCAGGCCCAGTTCCCTGGAGCACCCATGGGGGAGAATCCAAGGAGTAAGAGAGACAAAGAGCCCAAACTCCTGGGCTCAGATACAGACAGGTCCATGGGGGAAGGAAAAGCTGTGCAAGGAAGCAAAGCCAGGAATTCATTCCCTGCTTCCCACGGGCAGGTGGGTGTTCGTCCGTGCCCAGGTGAGCAGGGCTCCAGCCCAGGCAGTGGTGACCTAGGGACACAAATGCCATCACTGCCAGCATCCCCCCCTTTCTGCTCCTTCCCCCTCTTTCCAGACTGATCCTTCTTCCACACGCTCTGGGAATGCCCTGGGCTCAAGTCAGGGTCCCTGTCCCAGCTGTGTCTCTGCCCCTTTCTGCTGCTCCCCCAGCCCCTCGCTGCCAGGGCAGGATGAGGAACAGGAAAGGCCTCGGCTCTGGGCAGGAACAAAAACCTCCTGGAACCTTCCCTCTGTTTCCAGGCCAAACCCAAGCCCTGCCCCAGAGAAGCCCCTGGGAAGGAAGTTCAGCCTCCCCAGCCCAAAGCAGCGCCCAGAGCCCATCCCAGCCCCAGGCACTGCCTTCCCCCGAGCGTCTCCTCTAAGGCAGGGATGGCCCAGCGAGCACCAGGCTGGTGGCGATTGCAGCTCGGGGGAAAACAGGCGGGAGGGGATCTGTGCTGGGAGTTCCAGTGGTGCTTTATGGGCCAGCACACCCAAGGGCTCCAGGCACAGAGAACCAAGAACAAAGCAGGGTCCAGGGTTTTATATGGGACAAGGGAGGTGGAGCTTTGGTGCTGCCATGATATTTTCTGAAAAATCCCTTTGCCAGGAGTTTTCTCCTGAGAAGCTGAGAAGACTCAGAGGAAAAGAAAAACAATAATTATCTGCTGCTGTGGAATGCAACAGGTGCATCTTTGATTGGTCCATGTTGGTTGTTTCTAATTAATGGCCAATCACAGTCAGCTGGCTTGGACTCTCTGAGAGTCACGAGTTTTTGTTATCTTTCTTTTCTATTCCATGCTGGCCTTCTGATGAAATCCTCTCTTCTATTCTTTGAGTATAGTTTCAATATATAATTTTCTTTTAATATATTATAAAATAATAAATCAGCCTTCTGAAACATGGAGTCAGGATTCTCATCTTTTCCCTCATCCTGGGGCCCCTGCAAACACCACCACACTTTGGCTCTGAGGCCAGTGGGCAGAGGGAACAAGGGCGGTGCAAAGGCGGCACAAAAGGGCAACAACCAACTGGGATTCAGGGGAGGAGCTGCAGGGAACGGGAACCAATGGGAAAGCGGGAGTGGGGAACATTCTGGAACTGGGGAGGAGAACAAGGATGATGTAACATGGGTCACCAACATGTAATGGACATGATGCCAGCAGGACACACATCAAGGGACAATGTCACCACACCTGTGGGGACGCTGCCACCAGGATGCCTCCAGTGACACCAGCATGGCCCTGCATGGCCCCTGTGGGTGACACTGATCCTTGTCCTGTCCCCAGGGGCAGTTGGGGTCCAACCCGGGTCCCCACCAAAGGCTGTGTCCCCACACATGCCCATCCAAGCACGTTCAATGTCTTGATTTTTACCCCAATTTCAGGGCTTTCAAAGGGATGAACAGAAACCTTTGTGTTTGAAGGCCAAAACAAAAGGATTTCTGTGTCCCTGCCAGAAGAGCATCCACGTGCTTGGTGGGAAGAACCTTTTTTGGAGGGGTTTCTACCCCACTGTCTCCAAAGTCATGGGTTTTGCCCCAATCCGACCTGATTTGGTTGGGGAAGATGCCTGTGGGGCAGAGAGAATTAAAATGATGGATTTATGTTGGAGAAGACCTCCAAGGCCATCCAGTGTTACTTGATGCCACCAAAAGATGCAAAAAGTGAAATTTTTCTGGGGTCAGAAGTCAACAAATCTGCTCGATGTCACTATAAGACACAAAACAACGCGAGTGCACATACCACTGTTGTCAAGGTGAAAAAGGGAAAGTTTATTTTCTGACTCCAACATTTATAGTCTTCCAAAAGTGACAGTGGATCAGAGGGTGAAAGTCCCACCTCTCCAAATGACTCTGGACAAACCAACAGTCCATCAAATTTCTCCTCCTCCATCAAAGAATGCAAAACAATAAGTTATTTACAGGAAGTGTGTGAGAAAGTTTGCTACAAGAATGTAAACATCAGAAGGCTTAGAAAATCTTAAAAAATCAGGGCGACAGCTCTCTACAATGGATTTCTGATGCTCCCTATTTCACTGGTTTGGGAAATTCCATGGCATTGCTCACATGTCTGAAAGAGAGAGCTCATTCCAATCAAATGCATTGCCTGAGCTCTTTTAGTCCCTGTGCTGGAAGCTTGTTTGCTAACGTTGTTGGCTTTCTCAGCTTCTGTCAACATTTATGATTTTATAACAAAATGTTCTGGGATGTGATTTTGCAAGATTCTCTAATCTGATTTCAGCTTTGCTCTTGGATTCCTGGATGGTGTGTCAGAACTGAAGGCAGCAGTTTGGGTGGGAACCCTTCAGTGGGAGCTGGGGTTGCCTCAGCAGTAGCTGGTTGTGCCCATGTGTGAAAAACGCCAATCACTTGTTTTTAAAATTTTTAAAAGTTTAATAGTAATAAAGTGGTTATAAAGAATAGTGACACAATTAGAGTAATAACAATTTGGACAAATTGAATTAGGACAATATGAGATAATAAAAACAAAGAGTTACCAACGTCCGGGTACCTTTTTCTGGGCAGCACGAGCCCGAAAAAGGACACCCGTTAACAAAGGATTAACCCTTAAAAACAATAGCCCGTTGCATATTCATACACCTCATATATGATGCATAAATTTCATTCAAAGACAGGATTCTGTCTGGTCAGTGTAAACTTCTTCCTTCTAATCCTAACCGTGCCTCCAAGGTGGGAAGAAGTTCATTTCTTCTGATAAGAGAGCAATAAATTCTTTTTCTCTGAAAGACTTCGGTGTCCTTTGGCTGCTATCTCGCTGCAAGCCCTTTCTTTAGAAAAATATCTCACATAGCATAATTTCTATTTTAACATTTTTTATAACCTTAAACTATACTTAACACAATACTTAAGAAAATTAATTCAGCATTGCTTTCTAACACAACACATATAATATTGATTTTAATATTTGCGAAAAGCCAATCATAAAATGCATGCATTTTTCACACCATGTGACCAGGGACACCAGAGATGCCATGCCCGGGATGTTGTGCCCATGTGACCAGGGACACCAGAGATGCCATGACCGGGATGTTGTGCCTGGCTGGAACCCTCANGTGCCCTCCCACTGACCATTCCTGAGGCCTTTCCTTCCATGTCCCCCCTCAATCCTTTGCCTTTCTTCCTGGCCACTGCAGAGGGGTCCCCCTGTACAATTCCCTGACTCACCCCCACTCCCACACCATCTCCCAGTCCTGTTGGTTTTGTCCCCACCCGTCCTCATTCTTCTGCCCCCACCAAGCCCCTCCATTACACTCCCATGTCCCTACACTTCAATTTCTTTCTCCTCCCCTGTACCTCACACCCTGCTCCTTCCACACCCCCAGCCCTGTCCTCTAGACTCTCAATTGACCCCAGATCAATGTCTTTGGGTCTCCCCTCATCTCAAACAGATCTCCTTGGAAGAGATCTCCTTGAATTCCCATCCCTCTGCCTGCGGCCTGCTCCCTGCACCCGTGTGTCACCCCAGCCCCACAAGGTCCAGTCCGGGCCCAGCCTTTGTCCTCCTTTCCAGGCGCTCCTGGAAGGAACCCAAGATGATCTCCGGGAGGTGAGTGGGCTGCTGGCATTGGAGGGCATCCCCTCAGGGAATTGGGGGGCAGTGGTGTCCCCCCATCCCTTGCTGGCCCCGGGGACATCCCAAGTGACCAGTGAGGTCTCCAGGTCTCTCTGTAGTTGGATTTAGACAATGTCGCAGTCCTGGAGACGCCTCTGGTGGGTACCACGAGTTCTGCCGATGCCAGATCCTCCCATTGCATGGCCACCACAGTCCAGGCCATCCCAGTGTGTCCCAGCACAGCCCAGTGCAACCCTCCTGACAGCCCAGACAATGCCCTGCCCCAGGGCTCCTCCCCAGTGAAGTCTTTGCCCAGGGCCCTGCTGCATTCCATCCCTGTCACCCCAGGACCCCCTGGATGAGCCAGGACGCAGCCCCTGCCCCAGTTGTGCCTCTTGGCCAGGAGCCCAGTGCTTCTGGGCAGCAGCACAGCAGCTCCTGCACCCCATTGCTGCCAC